CTCCACTGCAGCCTACCACCACGCCAGTAGTGGTGCCGGTGTGCACGGAGGAAGTAGCAGTCAGCAGCCAGTGAGGAGTAGCGGGGGCAAAGTTTCCTACTCGGCGGTGTGGCAATTTTTCGTCAAGCCGCCCGAGGAAGTAAACGTAGCCGTATGTCGACTATGTGGCCAGAAAGTCAAGCGTGGCCAGGGGGCCATGTTGGGACTACAGCATTGCGTCAGCATATGCAGCGTCGCCATTCGGTGGCCTGGGAAAACCGTGATAAAGATACGGCGGTTCTGCCTGCCCCAGCCCCCGCTCCATCACCCGCTCCGTTACTTGCTCCGTCACCCGACATCAATCGCCCTCTATCAGCCAGTCAAGGCTCCAACACCTCTGCTGAGGGGAGTTGTCGCTCGTTGGCATCTTCTGCTCGTTCAGATGCTCCTTCTCCTGCTACTCCTCTTCACGGATTCCGTCAGCAGTCTTTCTTGGAATCCGTTTCCAAGAGACAACAGTTTGCGAGCATGCACCCGACGGTGCAGAAGCTGAACGTCCTCCTGTCCAAGTTGCTGGTGCTGCTGCAGTCCCTCCCTTTCCAAGTGGTGGACTCAGCACCTTTCCGAGAAATGATGGATTGTGCCGCTCCGCGGTGGAGAGTGCCAAGCCGGCATTTCTTCGCCAAAAAGGCAGTGCCAGCCCTGCATTCACATGTAGAAGAGATGGTGGGCCAGTCTTTGAGCATGTCGGTCTCTGCCAAAGTGCACGGCAGCGCCGACGTGTGGAGCTGTAACTACGGTCAGGGACAGTACATGTCATTTACGGCCCACTAGGTGAACGTGATGCCGGCACAGCCGCACCAGCAACTTGGACAGGTCACGCCGCTTTTGCCTCCACGTTTGCACGTCCTTGGTCCAGCAAAAGATGTCCGCCTCTACCACCTCTTCTTCCGCCGTGTCCTCAGCCGCCACCCCCGTGCCAAGTCCCATTACCCGACCGGCATATCACATGTGCAGGGCGCAACGGTGTCACGCTGTGCTGCACCTGGTATGCCTTGGCGAACGTAGTCACACAGGGGAGGAACTTCTGAGTGTAATGAACAGAGAAATCGACAGATGGCTGTCTCCGCGCAAACTGAAAATCGGAACCATGTTGACCGACAACGGAAAGAACATGGTGTCTGCTCTGCGTCAAGGAAGGTTGTGCCATGCGCCATGCATGGCTCACGTGTTCAATCTGGTTGTCAAGCGTTCCTAAAATCCACCATCCCACTGCAAGACATCCTTAAAATGTCACGTAAACTTTGCATGCATTTCAGCCATTCCTACACCGCAAAGCACACCCTCCTTGAGCTGCAGCGGCAGAACGGAATTCCACAGCAATCGCCTGATCTGCGACGTTGCAACAAGGTGGAATTCAACCCTACATATGTTAGACCGCCTTTACGAACAGCGAAAGGCCATCACCGATTTCCTGATGTTACAAGCGGATAAAGGTACTCCCCTGTGTAACTTAGATGTCAGCCATTGGCAGCTCATGCGTGACACCTGCCGCTTGCTCAGGCCCTTTGAGGAGGCCACGCTATTCGTGAGTCGGCAGGACTATGGGATGAACGACGTCATTCCTCTGTTGCACGTCCTGGAACAAATGCTGTTAACAATGGCTGGTCAGGGTGCGGTAGACGTGGCGCACAGATCTCAACGCCACATGACCCCTGTGGGGGCAGGACAGGAAGAAGAGGAGGAGGTAGAGGAGGACATTGGTGCTCAGGAATTATTGAGTGAAATGGGTGGTTTTTCCACTCAGCGGACAGGAGTGGAGGAGCAGGAGCATCTGGTAGAGGAGGAGGAGGAGACAGAGGACCCAGACGCACCGTGGCAGTATGCTGTGGAGATGGAGGCAGGGAGTCCCTCGCATTCCTTGGCACAAATGGCCCATAGCATGCTCGGTTGCTTGCGTAGCGACAGCCGAATAATAACCATCAGACAGAGGGATGACTTTTGGCTGTCCACCTTGTTGGACCCTCGCTACCGTTCAAAAATGGTGGCCTTTTTCACACCTGCTGAGAGGGAGGCCAAAATAACGTACTATAAAAACCACCTATGTAGTCAGTTGGTCTCTGCCTTTCTGCGCCAACGTCCATCCTCAGACACTGTGGGCCCTGTGCGCTCGCGTTCCGCTGCCATGGCAGCAGGGGAGGGGTGGGGTGGTAGGAGCAGTGGCAGCTCCACCAGCAGCGGCTGCCTCAGTCTGCAGTCGATGATGAGTAGCTTTCTTCACCAGCGCAGTGAGGAAACTACTAACCAGCCGCAGCAGCAGCAGCAGCAGCATCAGGTGGACCTGGAGCAGGACCTCAAACAACAGGCTTGGGCCTACTTGGACAGCACCCTGCCAACCGAGGTAGACAATCCCCTTGACTACTGGGCAACGAAACTTGACCTTTGGCCCCAACTAGCTGAATTTGCCCTTGAAAGGCTGTCATGCCCGGCCAGTAGCGTGGCATCGGAGCGCGTGTTTAGTGCGGCAGGAGGTATTGTAACTCCGCGGAGGACACGACTGTCCACCCAAAGTGTGGAGAGACTCACGTTTGTGAAAATGAATCAGGCGTGGATTAGTCTGGATTTCAAACCACCAGTTCCTGACACAACTGACTAAATCCGCCATGAATCATGCCCCAAACATGTTATTATTTTTAACATAGGCCTCTGTATGGCCTTCAATTTAAGCTGCTTACGCTTCGCGCCACTCTGCCATGGGCCCCTGTACCGCCTCCTCTTGCTGCTGCCAGGTCCAGAGTGTGTCATGGGTCCCTGTACGGCCTCCCATTGCTGCTGTCTCCATCGCCACACTCTGCCATGTGCCACTTTCAGGTCTCCTCACACTGCTGGTGGGTTCCATTTTGTCATAGGGTGCTGGCAGATTACGGGCCTCCCATTGCTGCTGCCAGGCCCCCGTAATCTGCCATGGGCCCCCGTACCGACTCCTCATGCTGCTGCCAGGCCCGTAATCTGTCATGGGCCCCTGTACTGCCTCCTCATGCTGCTGCTGCCAGGTCCAGAGTGTGTCATGGGTCCCTGTACGGCCTGGGTCCCTGTACGGCCTCCCATTGCTGCTGTCTCCATCGCCACACTCTGCCATGTGCCACTTTCAGGTCTCCTCACACTCCTCACACTGCTGGTGGGTTCCATTTTGTCATAGGGTGCTGGCAGATTACGGCCTCCCATTGCTGCTGCCAGGCCCGTAATCTGCCATGGGCCCCCGTACCGACCGACCCTCATGCTGCTGCTGCCAGGCCCCCGTAATCTGTCATGGGCCCCTGTACCGCCTCCCATCATGCTGCTGCTCCATCGTCCAGAGTGTGCATGGGTCCCTGTACGGCCTCCCATTGCTGCTGCCAGGCCCTTAATCTGCCATGGGCCCCCGTACCGACTCCTCATGCTGCTGCCAGGCCCGTAATCTGTCATGGGCCCCTGTACCGCCTCCTCATGCTGCTGCCAGGTCCAGAGTGTCATGGGTCCCTGTACGGCCTCCCATTGCTGCTGTCTCCATCGCCACACTCTGCCATGTGCCACTTTCAGGTCTCCTCACACTGCTGGTGGGTTCCATTTTGTCATAGGGTGCTGGCAGATTACGGGCCTCCCATTGCTGCTGCCAGGCCCGTAATCTGCCATGGGCCCCCGTACCGACTCCTCCTCATGCTGCTGCATGCCCCTGTACCGCCTCCTGCTGCCAGGTCCAGAGTGTCTCATGGGCCCCTGTACCCTCCCATTGCCTCCTCCATGCTGCTGCCCAGGTCGCCATTTGTGTCATGGGTCCCTGTTACGGCCCCACATTGCTGCTGCCAGGCCCTTAATCTGCCATGGGCCCCCGTACCGACTCCTCATGCTGCTGCCAGGCCGTAATCTGTCATGGGCCCCTGTACCGCCTCCTCATGCTGCTGCCAGGTCCAGAGTGTGTCATGGGTCCCTGTACGGCCTCCCATTGCTGCTGTCTCCATCGCCACACTCTGCCATGTGCCACTTTCAGGTCTCCTCACACTGCTGGTGGGTTCCATTTTGTCATAGGGTGCTGCTGCAGATTACGGGCCTCCCATTGCTGCTGCCAGGCCCGTAATCTGCCATGGGCCCCCGTACCGACTCCTCATGCTGCCAGGCCCGTAATCTGTCATGGGCCCCTGTACCGCCTCCTCATGCTGCTGCCAGGTCCAGAGTGTGTCATGGGTCCCTGTACGGCCTCCCATTGCTGCTGTCTCCATCGCCACACTCTGCCATGTGCCACTTTCAGGTCTCCTCACACTGCTGGTGGGTTCCATTTTGTCATAGGGTGCTGGCAGATGGCCTCCCATTGCTGCTGCCAGGCCCGTAATCTGCCATGGGCCCCCGTACCGACTCCTCATGCTGCTGCCAGGCCCGTAATCTGTCATGGGCCCCTGTACCGCCTCCTCATGCTGCTGCCAGGTCCAGAGTGTGTCATGGGTCCCTGTACGGCCTCCCATTGCTGCTGCCCATCGCCCGTATGTGCCACTCTCCTCCATGGGCCCCCGTTGTCATAGGTGCTGGCTCCCTCATGCTGCTGCCAGGCCCGTAATCTGTCATGGGCCCCTGTACCCTCATGCCTCCCGTCATGCTGCTGCCAGGTCCAGAGTGTGTCATGGGTCCCTGTACGGCCTCCCATTGCTGCTGTCTCCATCGCCACACTCTGCCATGTGCCACTTTCAGGTCTCCTCACACTGCTGGTGGGTTCCATTTTGTCATAGGGGCTGCTGGCAGATTACGGGCCTCCCATTGCTGCTGCCAGGCCCTAATCTGCCATGGGCCCCCGTACCGACCTCCTCATGCTGCTGCCAGGCCCGTAATCTGTCATGGGCCCCTTACCGCCTCCTCATGCTGCTGCTGTGCCAGGTTGTCAGAGTGTGTCATGGGTCCCTGTACGGCCTCCCATTGCTGCTGCCAGGCCCGTAATCTGCCATGGGCCCCCGTACCGACTCCTCATTGCTGCTGCCAGGCCCGTAATCTGTCCCATGGGCCCCTGTACCGCCTCCTCATGCTGCTGCCAGGTCCAGAGTGTGTCATGGGTCCCTGTACGGCCTCCCATTGCTGCTGTCTCCATCGCCACACTCTGCCATGTGCCACTTTCAGGTCTCCTCACACTGCTGGTGGGTTCCATTTTGTCATAGGGTGCTGGCAGATTACGGGCCTCCCATTGCTGCTGCCAGGCCCGTAATCTGCCATGGGCCCCCGTACCGACTCCTCATGCTGCTGCCAGGCCCGTAATCTGTCATGGGCCCCTGTACCGCCTCCTCATGCTGCTGCCCAGGTCCAGAGTGTGTCATGGGTCCCTGTACGGCCTCCCATTGCTGCTGTCTCCATCGCCACACTCTGCCATGTGCCACTTTCAGGTCTCCTCACACTGCTGGTGGGTTCCATTTTGTCATAGGTGCTGGCAGATGTACGGCCTCCCATTGCTGCTGCCAGGCCCGTAATCTGCCATGGGCCCCCCCGACCGACTCCTCATGCTGCTGCCAGGCCCGTAGAGTCCCGTAATCTGTCATGGGCCCCTGTACCGCCTCCTCATGCTGCTGCCAGGTCCCAGAGTGTGTCCATGGGTCCCTGTACGGCCTCCCATTGCTGCTGCCAGGCCCGTAATCTGCCATGGGCCCCCGTACCGACTCCTCATGCTGCTGCCAGGCCCGTAATCTGTCATGGGCCCCTGTACCGCCTCCTCATGCTGCTGCCAGGTCCAGAGTGTGTCATGGGTCCCTGTACGGCCTCCCATTGCTGCTGTCTCCATCGCCACACTCTGCCATGTGCCACTTTCAGGTCTCCTCACACTGCTGGTGGGTTCCATTTTGTCATAGGGTGCTGGCAGATTACGGGCCTCCCATTGCTGCTGCCAGGCCCTTAATCTGCCATGGGCCCCCGTACCGACTCCTCATGCTGCTGCCAGGCCCGTAATCTGTCCCTGGGCCCCTGTACCGCCTCCTCATGCTGCTGCCAGGTCCAGAGTGTGTCATGGGTCCCTGTACGGCCTCCCATTGCTGCTGCCAGGCCCGTAATCTGCCATGGGCCCCCGTACCGACTCCTCATGCTGCTGCCAGGCCCATAATCTGTCATGGGCCCCTGTACCGCCTCCTCATGCTGCTGCCAGGTCCAGAGTGTGTCATGGGTCCCTGTACGGCCTCCCATTGCTGCTGCCAGGCCCGTAATCTGCCATGGGCCCCCGTACCGACTCCTCATGCTGCTGCCAGGTCCAGAGTGTGTCATGGGTCCCTGTACGGCCTCCCATTGCTGCTGCCAGGCCCTTAATCTGCCATGGGCCCCCGTACCGACTCCTCATGCTGCTGCCAGGCCCGTAATCTGTCATGGGCCCCTGTACCGCCTCCTCATGCTGCTGCCAGGTCCAGAGTGTGTCATGGGTCCCTGTACGGCCTCCCATTGCTGCTGTCTCCATCGCCACACTCTGCCATGTGCCACTTTCAGGTCTCCTCACACTGCTGGTGGGTTCCATTTTTTCATAGGGTGCTGTATGGCCTCCCATTGCTGCTGCCAGGCCCGTAATCTGCCATGGGCCCCCGTACCGACTCCTCATGCTGCTGCCAGGCCCGTAATCTGTCATGGGCCCCTGTACCACCTCCTCATGCTGCTGCCAGGTCCTGTGTCATGGGTCCCTGTACGGCCTCCCATTGCTGCTGTCTCCATCGCCACACTCTGCCATGTGCCACTTTCAGGTCTCCTCACACTGCTGGTGGGTTCCATTTTGTCATAGGGTGCTGTATGGCCTCCCATTGCTGCTGCCTCCACCGCCACACTGTGGCTCCACACTCTGGTTTTGGCCCCGTGACTGCCCAAATGAGTGAAGTGTGCGGTGATTCTAAGATCGACGGCACTCATCTGCATGTCATACTGACTGACAGTATTATTTCTCTTCCCCAGCAGACTCCAAGGGCATTTAAATTAAAGGTACAGTGTTCTGCACTAATATAAAGGCTCTCTGAAGCCTAGAAACACCCTTTTTATAAGTTAAATTCGCAGCGAATATATTCGCATCGAATCGAATTTATTCCGCGAATTCGCGAAAATCAGCCGAATCAAATTTTTGAATAATTCGCTCATCTCTAGTAATAACGTACAAATATGATATGTACACAGGTTGTTGTAGAGTTTGTAATTGATGTATGTGGTGATAACTTTCTTACTCAGGCCACGTTCAGTTGGAACAATTGTCCTATACCTTTCTTGATTCACGTAATGTTGAAATGCTTTATGTCATGCTGATTATTCCAATACATTTGGTTCTTATTATTAATGTATAAATTGGTTTCCTCCTATTCCACAACTGTCATTTGTGCATTGGCACTGTTTTGTAAAGCTTTTGAAAATGTTCAATAAAAATTATTGTTAAAAAAAAAGAATTATTTTTTGGCTAGTGATGAAGAACACTGTTGCTGCCTTACATTGGTCTGATCACATTGGTACTGCTGTGGTGGTGATCAGGAACACTATTGCTGGCTTCACTGGCTGTGGTAAAACTGGTACTCATGTGGTAGTAGTCAGACATAATTTTGCCGGCTTACACAGGTTTCACAACACTGGGACTTGTCTGTCTGTGATCAAGAACTCTGTTGCTGGCATACACTGGTCCGGTGATACTGGGAATGATGTGGCAGTGATTACCAACACTGTTGCTGGCTTACACTTGTCTGGTGACTCTGAGACTGCTGTGGTGATGATCAGGTGGTCTGGTGGTATTGTCACTGGTGTGGCACCAAACAAGAACCTTGCTGATGACTTACACTGGTCTGGCGACAACGAGACTACTGCGGCAGTAATCTGGCTCTGATTTGGCAACAGTCAGATAAACTATTGCTGGCCGACCCTTGTCTAGTGATACTCAGACTGGTGTGGCTAGCAATCAGAACCAAGAATACTGTTGTTGACTCACTGGTCTGGTGACACTAGGACTTGTGTGACAGCAACTGGAATTGCTGATGACTTAGACTGATGTAATGAAATTGGGACAGGTGAGAAACAGAAACATAGAAAAGTGATGGCAGAAAAAGACCGAGTGGTCCACCCAAGAAGATGATTAGAAACACTGTTGCGGAATCACACTGGTCTGGTAACACTGGGGCCGGTGTGGTGGTAATCAGGAACAGTGTTGCTGGCTTACACTGGTCTGGTGACACTGGGAATTATGTGATGATTATAATGGACATTGCTGCGGGCTTCACTGGTTGTGGTGACACTGGCACTGGGGTGGCAGTGATCAAGAACTCTGTTGCTGGTTGGCACTAGTTTAGTAATACTTGGACTGGAGTGGTCAGCAATCAAGAGCACTGTTGCTGTCTTACGCTGGTTTGGTAACACTGAGACTGCTGTGATGTGATCTGGAAAACTGTTGCTGGCTTCACTTGTTGTGGTCACACTGGTACTCATGCAAAATGGTCAGGAACACTTTTTCTGGCTTACACTGGACTGCTGACACTGAGACTTGTCTGGCAATGATCAGGAATGCTGTTGCTTGCATAAACTGGTCTGGTAATACTGGGGCTGGTGTAACAAGGCTTACACTGGTCTGGTGACAAGAGGACTGGTGTGGCGGCAATCAGGGGCACTGTGCTGGTTTCTCTGGCTGTGGTGACTCCGGCACTTGTGTGGCAGTGATTAGGAACACTGTTGCTGGAGGACACTGGTCTGGTGATACTTAGACTGGGCTGGTAACACTGCGACTGGTGTGGATGTGATCAGGAGCGCTTTTGTTGGGTTGCATTAATCTTGTGACACTGGAACTGTTGTGGTGGGGAGCACAACCATTGTTGCTGGATTACACTTGTCTGATGATATTGTGAATGGTGTGGTGGCAATTACGAACACTGTTTCTAGCTACACTGGTCTGGTGACACTGAAACTGGTGACACTGATACTGATATTTAAGACCGAAACAGTGTTTGGTGATATTAGGACTGGTGTGGCAGTGATCACAAACTAGTGTATGCCAGCACCAGTGTTTGAGATTGTCACCCCACTAATCCCAGTGTCACCCCACTAATCCCCGTGTCACCATACTAATCCCCACGTCACCATACCAGTGTCCCTGGCCACTGCTATGCCAGAGTCACTAAACCAGCGTTTGTCAGCAACAGTGTTCCTGATCACCACCAGCAACAGTGTTCCTGATCACCACCAGCAACAGTGTTCCTGATCACCACCAACAACAGTGTTCTTGATTGCTGCCAGTTTTAGTGTCACCAGACCAAAACAAGTAGAACAAGTTTTGACTTAGCACACACTGTAATGTATAACATCCAAAACTTGATTTTACGTAGGTTTGGATAAAGTATGGAAGGGTTAGATCCTCTGTCAGGTTGTTACTGCTATCTTTGTCCCATTGGGGAAATTTCTCTTCACTTCCTGCATTTTTGGATACCAATAAAATAATTAGTAGCTAGACCACGGATACCCAATTTTGTAACCTCTATATGTACAATCATCCTTTTGAACATATGTGAATGTGGTACCCCTGTAGAATGTAGTACATAATACCCCTACTCATTCACCAACAAATGTAAACAGTGAAACACACACAC